TTACACCTTCAAAGTATAAGAAGAAAGCACTACACTTTACTATCCAAGGAACACATTAGTGCAGATTTTTGGTCAACTTCAGAGAATAAACTGATTTGACTCAGGTATTTCTAGTATGTGTGACCTATATGGTTGGAAAGATATACGAGTTAGGGTTTTAACAAAAATAACGGTGCGCAATTTGGACTTTCCAACAAAGAGTTATGATCAAATTAGTGAAAAGTAGTCTGTTAGACTGCTTGGTTCTTCTATACTTGTCTAACTCGAGTTTGGGTGTTTTTTGTCACAAATCCTATCTCGTACCCATCTCCAATATAAGTAGGATGACTTTCATAAAGATTCATGTCTAGCATCATTCATTAACCAAAATCAAATTACCCTCCGCCTCCTATAATCATCCATGACAACATAATGTAGAAATAGTATATTTAGAAAAAAAAATCTTTCTTCAATTCCTCTAAGCTAGCTCGTTGATGAGAATGCAAATGTCATATGTTTTTTTCTCTTTCATTATTTAGCCCTTTATACTTATTATTCTTATAGTTTGATTTATGATGTAAATAAAGACGTTAAAAGTAGAACGAAGCTAATAGGATGATTGTTGATAGTATAGACATGTGGGGATTTACAGGTATACCCGAAAGTTGTGGAGGAATAATTGGTTTTTTTTTTTTGCTTTTCAATGTCCAGTCTTTTATTTACTTACTTTATTTTTATTCCATGTTAATTATGTTCTTTTGTCGTATAGTTTTGTTCTTCTTAGTCGCAGATATTGATATTTTTGTCAAAGCTCAAGTACGAGGTGTTCTCTAATCCTACTAATCTTTTTATTGTTCGTTATTGAATATCATACCTTTTTTGTTTCATTGAGGACAATGCATGAATCAAGTTGAGGGGTGAGGTTGCACTATTTGTATCTTACACCAATGTTTGTGAGAATATTTCGTACAGATATTCGCGCCTGCCGACACTAAAAAAAAAAAAAATTCCTCGCGGATATGCAACTACCGACACTCAAAAAAAAATGGAATGCCTTTATAAGACCTTCACTTTTTTTTTCCTTTTTCTCCCATCCACCGGTGATTGGTCTCCCCTTCTTCTTCCCTTCTTCTTCTCTTCTTCTTCATCGTCGTTCTCTCTGTTCTCTGTAAAAATAATCCACCCCCTGCAAATCGATAACCATATACGCCAACGAACCAATCCTTTGTTTAATACTTTGTCTGATATGTTTGTATTTGTACATGGGTGCTCTTCTTCTACTCGCACTTAGGGTGAGGGGTTTCCAGCTTAACCCAGATCTCCCTCGAGTTGACTAATTGTTGTGTTTTCTTTGTAGGTTTCGCCAGTTGAACATATCTCTTCTAGTACCCCCTTTCCCTTTTTCTTTGTTTTGTTCTTCTTCTTCTTTCTGTTGTGCTATTCTCTATAGCACGACCCAACTCCCAACAATCCCATGACCATATTCCCCGAAGACTCAGTCCTTTGTTTCATGATCTATATTTGTTTACTCTATTTGTACATGGTTCTTCTTCTTCTGTCTGCACTTAGAATCAAGGGTTTTCGTCCTAGCGCAAACAGATCTGCGTAGAGAAGATTAATTTGTGTATTTTCTTTGTAGGTTTCAACAATTGAACAGATCTCTACCCTTTAACTTGATCTCCAAACTCCACACACTGGTAAATTTGAAACATTGGGGACAATATTCAATTTAGGTTGGGGGTGTGATCTACGATTCTAGTTTGTTATAGTTTCGTATTTAAAAAAAAAAATTGTTATGGATTGCATATTTTTATAGCATTTTTGCTTATTTCATGATTACATCAAATGCAGCTTCAATCGTCTTTGTGAGTGGTAGACGTTAAAGAATCAGATAATAAGTCTTAAAGCATAGAAAACATGGATATTAAAAATTTTTGGTTTAGTTTGGGAGTCTTGCGCACATTTTCATCTGATGTGCATACTGTGATCATAAGAAAAATAAGAGTAGTTAGAAAAATTGAAATCTGAGAAGCACAAGCAAAACAATTGTGTGGCAGAAGTACTTTTGCTAAACGTCGTCGTACCAAATGGTTGGGTGCTTATAAACAATGTGGCAGGTGTTTTCACATGAAAAAATACAATCAGTGTTCTGAACCAATTTCGGGTCGTGCAATCGATTAATTAAATTGGATAGTCTATGGGCAGAGTAAGGAGTTTTCTAACACGCCATCTTATGCCAGTCCGGGACTTACACGTTATGTGCAACAAGAAGTGGGAAGGGTCACTAATAATGACATAGACACAAGCGATGACTCGAATTAAATTTTAACTAATAATGACAAAGCTGTGGAAAATGTGTTTTGGGGATGAAGGTTAATGGTTCGAATTTTTTTTGTGTAAATATTTGTTTATGTACAAAGTCTTTTTGTTGAAATAAAGATGTGGGCCAAGTAAGGATTGTCCTAAAATGCTAACCTGTAGCGTGGGTAGGGACTTATCCTAAGACGTCATAGTTTTCCAAGTTCAATGTGTGCATTTAGTCTTCTTTCAATTTTCATAGATAAATGTGTATGTAAATAACTTTGATTTTTATTCGAGTGAAAAAAAAAACCCGCATTTCCTTGAAAAATGATATTTTCTCTATTCTTAAATGTCAAATGTACATTGATATTTGTTAATCTTAAGGTACAGAATGACCAAACTCGAAAATAGAATTAATATATAATCAAAATTCTTTGGAAACCTGACATAACCAGTGGAGATAACGTAGAATACCATGATAAGTTTTAAGCCTTGCGATACTTTCTGAGAGACAATCAACATTTACTCAAGTAAGCTCTTTCACTTTCAATTTTTGAATAATCTCATTAAACTTGCTTTGATTAATGCAACTAAAGTGATCTATTGACATATCCAATAGAGAACCTTCGCATGCGACACATACATAGGCACATACTTGAAAAAGGATTTTAGGCCATTTTTGAGTTAATTTTGAGCCTTAGTCATTGATTCTACGAAATTATATCCCTAGTTAGCCAAGTTTGAACCTTCAATGAATGATTTCTTTTTTCGAAAAACCCATATGATAACCAAGCCACAAGAGAATACACTTAACATCGGTAGAAAAGAAGATGGTGGCTACTTTTCAATGAAAAATCGGTGGAAACAACCGGAAAAAAAACAGAGAATTGCCAAGAAAGTGAAAATGAAAAAAAATGAAAGAAAGAAATACCATTTTTAGGCAAAAGATCGAAAAGTAAGAAAGACGTGTGCTACACTACATTAAAAAGGGGATAGTTTTTTAATACCATTGATATCATTTCGTTAGCCACTGACCTCTGGCCACATTACAACCTATACAAAACCCTAATTGATCTCAAGTCTGATGCATGTGTGTGTTGTCGACCGAAAATTGGGGTATGTTAAATAGTATTTCTTTAATTGTATTGATATTCTTCCTTGAGATTATGCCAAGAACATGATTAGTCTACTTTCTTAAGACTTTCATTCCCTTTCTAACTATGCATGTGATTTTTCGATTGGCCATTCTCTGATCACATGCCCTTTGAGAGACAAGTCAGTATAATTGGAGTGAATTTTTGCTGAGAGCATTCTAAAAAGATGTGTACATCTTGCGCTTAGGGAGTACTTTTGTTCACACATACTCACATTTGACATTTCATTCATCCATCATTCCAAAAATGCTTGACAAAATTCTTTGTTATTTCATAATCTCTAAACATCACCTTTTAGCATGTATAGTATATGAATGAAGGGGAGTGTCACTCTCCTAGGGACGACGTCAAAAGAAAGGACAACAGAATGGTGGATGAATGAAATGTCAAATGTGAGTATGTGTGAACAAAAGTGCTCCCCAAGCGCAAGGAGACTTTCGTGGATCATGTTTTACTTAGTGGAATTCCAAGGTCGTTTTCACGGGAGAGAAAGTAAACCGAGGGGAAGGTGATTTTGGGAGAAAGAAAGTGTAAAAACTTTGATTGTTGGAAGTTGTTTTGATGCTAGTAAAATGAGAAACAAATATTGGCAAATCCAAGAGGTCACTCCAATAGGAATACCGTCTCAACTCGAAACCCTCCTCCAATAGAGGATGAATGAACGATTGATTCGTGGGAAGCTAGAGATAAGATTGGTGAGTATCTAAGCATAAACCGTGACTAAGCCTACGGAATATCAAAGACTCACCAAGTTATCCACCCTCAACCCAGTCAAACCGAACCATTGAACTCTGAAAAAAGGGAGGAGAATGAGTTGAAATGGTATGCCCAAGTGAAGGTTCCTCTTGGTTTTGCCAACTAAGAGATTTAGCTATTCATGCTTAAAATAAAGATAACAATATGATGAGAAGACATTATGAAGAAATAAAGACTAGCGTTAAGCATAAACGAAATGCATAAATATAACTTTCAAATAATCACCTCTTACTAAAGATTGGATGAGAAACTACTCACTCTTCATGGCTTTGTTAAAGCTAGAAAAGTGAGTGATGTCCATCCCTCCAAGTAGAGGAGTTACAAGGTAAAACATTTTATACAAGGAGCCGATCTTCGACAAAGAATGAGTGAATCACGTTCCACCCTTCATGGCTTAGGTAAAACTCTAGAAAAGTGGAAGAGTTTCACTCCTCTAAGGGAAGAAGGAAGCTCAAGCAATAGAAGCAAAAAATAATAACACAATAAAAGAAAGCAATAATACAATAAAAGAAAGCAATACTTAAAGAAAGCAATAAGCAATAAGGAAAGCAATAATACTTTTGGAGGGTTTTTCACTACCAAAAGATGAATGTTTTACAAGTCCTAAGGGGTGGTATTTATAGGTAACAAGAGAGGGTGAAAGTCTTATTTGGTGGCTTTGAATTACATGAAAGTCTTGTTTGGTGGCCTTGAATTACATGAAAGTCTTGTCTGGTGACCTTGAACTACATGAAAGTCTTGTTTGGTAGCCTTGAATTCTTTGATCCCCCTTTGTTTTGAGCTTTGATAATTGGCACCCCAGTAGTTTGTAACTTTAATGCAATTGGCTCCTCAGTAGTTTGTAGCTTTGATGCACAAAACCCTGAAAAGAACAACAATTAATACATTATCCTTTATTCACACACTAACCCTAATTTGACTAGTTTTACTTTATTTAAATAATATAATTGACCTATTAATTTAATTAAATTATGCATTAATTAGGGTTAATCATGGTCCAAATCTCTTTTCACTTTGTATGTGGTCCAAAGCTAACCACCACTTAGACTAAAGTACAAAACGGGGTATTGAGAGGCTGGTAAGCATTGAAGATAAGATTTAGATGACAGATTGAGAGGGTGGTGAGTAAGCATTGAAGATAAGATTTAGATGAACTGAACTTAGGGTGAATCGATAGTTGGTGACGGTGGTCAAAGAGACTCTGACGTTTAAATTAGATCATGAGGCAAAAAATAAAGCATAAAATGAATAGGTCAAGATTAAATTGAATAACCTAATATTTGTGGCCTTTATTTATAGTAGTAGGAATATATGTCGTAAAGAAACTCGAATTGTTGGTTGATTGGCTAAACTCTGTCACCAAGTCCAATAAGTACATGGTAGAATTTAATTAGCACTTTGAGCCCTCGATCCTAATCACCAATCCCTGATTGCTAGAGAGAGAGAGAGAATGGACGTGATGGAAGCACTTTTCATGAACGGAGGAGAAGTAGAATCAAGTTATGCTCAACACGCATTCTTTACGGTGTGCTCTATTTTCCATACATCAACTTATTTTTGTCAGAAAGTTCTTCCATATCATCATATATCAATCTATAATTGAATCAAAATCATTTTGCACAAGAATTTTTATTCAAATTTCTCCCTAATCAAACTCGTTTACATCGTGTTCTACTTTCCAAACATCAAGTTATTTTCTTCTGTTCAAAAAGGAAAATCATTCACAAACAGAACTTATTTTGTAAGAAAACTTCATCCAAATAATCATATCAATCTGTAGTTATTGCAAGATCATTTTGCACATCAATTTTCGCTTCAAATTTTGTTTAATCAACATTATTTACAGATCGATTCAATCTTCTGATCGTGTGCAGCAAAAAGTGACTTCCATAACCAATCCTATACTGGTAAATGCGGTTCATTCTCTGTTCTCGAAAGATTTCCAGTGGAAAAAAGTTCTCAACATGGCTAATCTCGGTTGCGCGGTCGGTTCAAACACTTTCTCCGTCATTTTAACCGTCAAAGAAAACTTGGAGAGGAAATGCATGGAGTTAAATTGCCAACCGCCAGAGCTTTAGGTTTACTTGAACTACCTGGTAATGATTTCAATTCACTCTTCAAAGACTTGTCTAGAGTCGGTGAAGATCAAAAGAGTGATGTTCTTCTTCCATGCTTTGTGATGGGAGCTCCTGGTTCTTTCCATGGCCGCCTCTTTCCTCGCAACTGGTTGCATCTTGTTCATTCCTCCTACAGTGTCCATTGGCTCTTTCAGGTTTGCATCCATCTTCATACTGTTTGTAAACAAGAAATCCGAAGTAGGCATCTCAATACTTCATGTGGTGTCGTATTTTTAAATCAATTCAAAAGTTATTCAACTCAAATTTAATCTATTTTATGTTCGTAACATGTTGGATTTGTGTTTAGCAAAATGTGTATTATATTTAAGTATCGACTTATTTACTTTATGTGTTCTATAGTTCACCCGATAATTATCCAAATGATCTAAAAATAAATTCAAACCCACTCACTTTGTTTTGCTGGTCTTTCCCAATAAAGAGCTACCCATATTACACATTTTTTTGTCAACAACTATCCAAATTTTAGTTAAGAGTTATCCAAATTATTATTTTTTTTCATATTTAGGTATCAATTGATAAATTTATAATAAACAATTATTAACGACGTTGTCTGCTTGAGGGACCACATAAAAACATATTCAATACTTTAGAGACGAAAATAGTGTAATTAAAATATTATGGACCAAAATGAGACAAACTATATTCTTTAGGGACCTCCAGTGCAATTAATCCTAAGGATTAAGACTGCCAATTCTATACACGACAGACTCAATTGGTAAATGTATTATGAGCGAATTAAATATTGGATTGTACTATTTTTTATTCAATTGAGACTAATACTTTGTTTGGTAAGTACATTTGATACTGTATTAATTTCAAAAATGTATACTAATCGTATATTTTTTATACGATAGACTTTTATTATGGAGATATTTTAATACCACGAAGAGAGGTGGTATTATACTCTAACTTAAACGTATTATTCTATACATTTACTATTATAACCCTTCAACTGATAGAATCAAATTGTCATTAATTTAACAAACACTGATTGAGGGTATTTTGTTAATTCAATATTAATACGATGAAATAATTCTGTAACTAAAAAATCGATTGAATTAAATAACTATTAACTAATGTTTATATTATGTATTGTCAATTGCTAGATAAAATTACTTATTATTCTAATACCCTATTTAATCTTGTCTTTTGTCCTTCTGTACTGTATTAAACTAGATTACTTTATCTAATCCATCCATTTATAATACGACAAACAAACGAATCCAAGTTGTACATTCGACACAAGATCCAGAGCCAAACGAAGAGATTGGGTTTGAATTTGTTTTTGGATCATTTGGATGATTATCAATTGAACTATAGAATATATAAAGTAAATAAGTTGATACGAATCACGATAAATATAATACACATTTGGCTAAATAAAAACCCAACATGTCACAAACCTAAAATAGATTAAATTTAAGTTGAATAAGTTTTGGCAAAATATCTATATAATAAAGTACAATACAATTCAAATTCCAAAAGATAAACAAAATGACTTTTGTTTTTCGCAGTTAAGATCTTTTTAAATTTTACTTTAAAAGTAATCCAACGGTCAATATTAACAACTTAAATTTAATAGAAAAAATAAGCCCCTAAAGGTGTGTTTGGGATAACTTTTTAAAAATACTACAAGAACTTATAATTTTTTATAACTATTTTAAACAAAAAAAGTAATATTTTGAACTGTCCCACCACCACCACTATAACCACCACCCCTACCGCTATCATCGCTACCATCATCAACGCCACCCCACCACCACCACCATCCCTACTACCACCACCCTCGTTACCACTGTTGTCGTCCCACCATTACCCTTACCACCCCCACCCCCACCGCCCCACGACCATCACCACTACCACCGTCGCTGCTACCCCTACACTACCCCACCATCGTCACTATCACCACTCACCACTATCGTCATCTCATTCTTATATTTATTATCACTACCACCATTAACTCGTGACTATCGTCGCCACCCACCATCATCATATTGTTGTCCACCACCACCCGTCGTTAAAAACCACCATCACCCACCCCCACCACACTTACCACTACCATCATTCGTTACCACCCATCATATTGTTGCCCAGAAGCATCTGTTGTTGCCCACCACCGCCACCACCACCGTCGGCCACTCACACCCATCACCACCACCACCGTCACACATGGCTGTCATTACTACCATCACTGTTGTCATCCACGGCTACCACCACCACAGTCATTGCCACCTACCACAACTATCACTGTCTCCTACCACCACCACTATCGCCCACCACCTCTCACCCCTACTACAATCGATGTTTAAATTCATTTATCTCTCCTCTATGTTTGTGATTTAATTTTGGATATGAATACAAATATGTTTATTATTGACTATTTTTTTATTATTCTTTACCTTCAGGCACAGACAATAATTAGTAATTTTATGTCATTTAAAAATACAACACCACATGAAGTATTGAGATGCCTACTTCGGATTTCTTGTTTTAAAAAGAGTACGAAGATTGATGCAAACCTGACAGAGCCAGTGGACACTGTAGGAGGAATGAACAAGTTGCAACCAGCTGCGTGGAAAGAGGCGGCCATAGAAAGAACTAGGAGCTCCCTTCACAAACATGGAAGAAGAACATCACTCTTTTGATCTTCACTGATCTAGGCAAGTCTTTGAAGAGCGAATTGAAATCGTTACCAAGAAGATCGTTCAAGTAAACCTGAAGCTCCGGCGGTTGGCAATTTAACTCCTTGCATTTCCTCTCCAAGCTTTCTTTCACGGTCAAAATGACGGAGAACGTGTTTGGACCGGTCGCGCAACCGAGATCGGCTATGTTGAGAACTTTTTTTCGATGGAAATCTTCTGAGAACAGAGAACAAAGAATGAACTGCATTTACCAGTACAGGTTTGATTATGAAAATCACTTTTTGTTGCACATGATCAGAAGATTGAATCGATCTGTAAATAATGTTGATTAAACAGAAATTTGAAGCGAAATTTGATGTGCAAAATGATCTTGCGATAACTATAGATTGATATGATGATTTGGGTAAAGTTTCTGACAAACTAAGTTTTGTTTGTGAATGATTTTCCTTTTGAGCAGAAGAAATGATTTTCCTTTTGAGCAGAAGAAAATAACTTGATGTTTGAAAAGTAGAACACGCCGTAAACGAGTTTGATTGGAGAGAAATTTGAAGAGAAAATTCTTGTGCAAAATGATTTTGATTCAATTATAGATTGATATATGATGATATGGAATAACTTTCTGACAAAAATAAGTTGATATATGGAAAATAGAGCATACCGTAAAGAATGAGTGTTGAGCATAGCTTGATTCTACTTCTCCTCCGTTCATGAAAGTGCTTCCTTCACGTCCACTCTCTCTCTCTCTCTCTCTCTCTCTCTCTCTCTCTCTCTCTCTCTCTCTCTCTCTCTCTCTCTGTAGGTGTGTATCTGGTTTGTGAGGAATGTGCTAATCAAGGCCAATGTCAGTCACCAAGATGGCCATGCCACTTGGCACGTGCAAGAGGCTTGGACATGTCTTCCCTCTTTATTTTGGCACCTTAGGCAATTATGGGTGAGTCTCACTCGGTAATCAACCTAAGACCTAGAGTTCAAATTTAATATCATCCCAAATATCTTAGAATTGGCGACGAGATATTAAGGAGTTTGAGTTAAAATGAAAGATTACTCCGCGCAATCAGAGGTCGGTGATTAGGACCGAGGACTGCGAGTCCTAATCAAATTCTACAACATACTTATAGCACTTTGTGACAGAGTTGAGCCAATCAATAAAGAATTTTGATTTCTTTTGAAAACATCTCCCTATTACTATAAATAAATATCATGAGTATTATGTAATTCAATTCAATCTTGACTTATTTATTCTATACTTCTTTTTTAACTCACAATTTAATTTAAACATCAAAATTCCTTTGACTATCTCCAATAATCGATTCAACTAAATTGAGTTCACCTAGATGTTCTCTTAAATGCTTACTTACCACCCTCTCAATCCGTCACTATTAAGCGTTATGCGTTTTGTACTTTAGTCTAAGTGGTGGTTCGTTTTTCACCACATATAAAGTGAAAGAGACAAATGTACTTTATTCTAAGCAGTGGTTAGCATTGCACCACATACAAAATGAAAGCGACATAGATTTCTTCCGTGGTAAATGACAGTACTCACCATTCAATGAGATCAATTCTGTCGAACCTAATCAGGATCTAACTCATTTTATATTATTTGTTGACACAATTTATTAGAATAATGCTATAAAGATTTAATTATTCATAATTTATTGAATTGACGATAGACTCAGTATTTATTAGAACTCAATTAAATCAACAAATTAAATCCAAATAACATTATTAAATTTAGTAACCTAATCCATCATAATCATATGATTGATTGTTGATCCCAACAAATACTGATGTCCATCATCAATTCAATAAATATGAATGAAGAAGTTGGCAAATTAGACTCAAATAACATTGCTCGTAACAACACTAATATTATTGAGATATAATTTGAAACTTAATGTGGTGTAATCATTCGATTGATAGTCGAGTCTATTTAATATTTGTACTCATTCACAATCCTTAATTCCCTAAATTATGTCATAATAATATTTTGCTCAAATAACAATTGAGTTTGTTGTGAGCTTGAAGAAACTCATTTTTTAATTCAACAATTATAATTAATTTATTTTTATCTCAAAAATTATAATTGATTAGATCTTCACAATAACATTTTCCCTAATGGCTAATGAAGTTGCTCTTAAATTGCTTCAAACCAATTAAATAAGCTTTCTGCTTTGACTACTCAATTGAGTTTGAATTTTTTTATGTACTCAGATGAAAATTGAATCATATTACATAGAAAAATGTTATTCATTTTTAATTGAAGGACTTAATCAATTATAATTGTGCGATTAAGAATTAATTTCATATGATATTAAAACTCACAACTAATTTAATGACTATATTGAATTAAATCTCAGAATTAGTTCCCCAAACATAAGATAAAATTTTAAGTTTCATTATTGTTAGGACATCTGCAGTCTTGACACTCATGGCAGAGCTAGGAATTCTTCATAATGGGGGCAACTAGTAACAGATTATCATCACCCATTCTCGTTGTGCCTTATAAATAAATCATTAGTATGCTTGTTAACAATAAGATTTGAATAGAATATCAATTTATCCAAATTCGATTTAAAAACTTAATTTGTATTTGTTGTGATTATTCAAAGAACTTAAGTTTTACAGTTCATATCGAATCCTTTAAAAAAAAATTATTTTCATCCATATAATTAAATTAGAGGTGAATTTTAATACATTACATTCAATTTTGACACAATATCGTTAAATAATAACTCAATTTTAATTAATATATATGTATTTATGTGTGTATGTAATCATATCGGATCACAACCGAATCCAATTTTTCTATACCCATATTTGTAAAAATTTGCCTCTTATTTTTTTTTTTTGGCTAACTTTTAATGGGGGCAAATCCTAAATAATTTTAAAATTTTTATATGAAGCCCAAAAAATTTTAAAATAGGGGTGGGGACAGTTGCCCCCACTGTCCGCACCTTAAATTTGCTAGTGTTTGACTTAAATTTTTATTCAAAGTTGAGGAAAAAAGTTTGATTTCATACAAAAAAACTGCAATGGAGAATTCAATGTTAAAAGAGGACAAATTAAATTTAAATGATGATAAAATATGACCAACGAATTTTTAAAAGAGAAAAAATTTGAGTAAAGATTTGAGATTCCCCTGATTTGAGTAAAAAAATTGAGTGTTCCTTCATTTGGTAAGAATTTGAATAAAGATTCTGGGGGTTGTTTCTAACCTGTTTTTTCTCAAATTTATGAGTTTGACTAAGGATTGAAAATGCTCTTAACAACTCCAAAAAAAAAAAAAATTGGTGTTTTCGGTGGCCAATCCATTTTAGAAGAAAATCATGAAGTCCTAGCTTTATTTTATTTTAGTTTTAAAAGACAAATTGGAAATCAAAGATAAAATTGTCATTCTACTCTAAGGTGCTTCTTCAGTCCAGTGACACTGGACAGTGGCACAAGATATTGAGACTAGACAGCCTTTGTATCTTGCATATAATGCATTAAAGAATATGATGTGTAGAATGCACTCTTAATCCGAGGTGCGAAATTTGGGTGGGTAGCTTAATTATGATGTGGGATTACCCAGATAGAAAAGATTAACAATTTGGAACAGGTTTTGTTCAATGCCAAATAAATTCTTTGCAAATTAGTTAGTCATTACTATTAAAACATTGTTATGTTTGACTAAGTTGAGTTTAAAATGGAATATGGGTTTTAGTTTTCTAATGCATTTCGTTGAATGCCATTTGGGCATAGCTCACAATTAAAATATTTTATCTTAAAACATCTCCAACCTTGTAAATTTGAGTCAACATTTGAGTAAAAAGTTTAATTTAATACAATGCACTCCAACGGAGAAACTCGAATTTAAATAAGGATAAAATATGATTATTAGATTTTTAAAAGAGAATAAAATATAACAATTGAAGATTTGAGTCTTTTATGATTTGGTATGAGTTTGGGTATAAGATTAGAGAAACCTTTTTTTTTTTACCTATATTCAAATTTGAAAAATGGTAAGGATTGAAATTACTCTTAGACTTTGATTGAAATGCTTTATGTCATAATGCCAACAATAAATGATTTTAAGGTTAAGGTATGACCAATTAAAATAAATATCCTGAGGATAACAAACACCAAGGAAAATTTCTAGGCGGGCTGAAAATTTACAAACAAATTCCTATCCTTATCTTCCCCATCAAACTCAACATCCTCAAAGAACCGGGCGTTTCCCATCTCAAAAATTGATCTAGTAGTAGGATCATAGAATTTGTAACCCCTGAATCTTTTGGAGTATCCAATAAAATAGCAAATAACCATTCTTGAATCCAGTTTCTTTTCATGTGGCCTGTAAGGCCTTGCTTCAGCTATACATCCCCAAATGTGTAGCTGCTTCAGACTTGGCTTCTTTCCTATCCAAAGTTCATAAGGGGTTTTAGCAGTTTCTTTAGTTGGTACTCTGTTAAGGATATACGCTGCAGTATTTAATGCTTCACCCCAGAGTGATTCGGGCAAGTTAGAATGACTAATCATACTCTTTGTCATGTCTTTGAACATACTGTTTCGCCTTTCCGCAACATCATTCATGCTTGGAGAACCTAGCATGGTGTACTGTGAGACGATACCACACTCCTCTAGGAATTTAGCAAATGGTTCCGGACGTTGTTCACTTGAACCGTCATACTTACCATAGTATTCACCACCACGGTCAGATCTGATGTTTTTAATCCTTTTGCTGAGTTGATTTTCAACTTCAACTTTGAACGATTTGAACACTTCCAGTGATTGGGACTTTTCATGAATGAGATAAAGGTAGTCGTAACGTGAAAAATCGTCTATGAACGTGATAAAATATTATTGGTCATTCCATGAAACCGTAGGAAATGGCCCACAAATATTTGTATGTATCAGTTCTAAGACATCTGTAGCCCTGTTGGCACCAAATCTCCTTATGTTTGTTTGTTTTTCCTTTATGCAATTTGTGCAAATTTCAAAATCTGCAAAATCAAGAAAATCTAGAATCTCATCTGACACAAGTCTTTCAATTCTCCTTTGGGAGATGTGACCTAATCTCTTATGCCATAATAATGAGGAATTCTCATTGGTTAATTTTCTTTTAATACCTCAAGTACTTAATTGCAAGGTTTCATGATATGAAGCAATTGTATCAAGCATATAAAGGTTATCTACATAAGATAAAGAACCAGTACCAACCAAATTTGAATTCTAAAAAAGATTAAATTTATTATTTCCAAAAGAACAAGAATAACCAAATTTGTCCAATACAAAAATAGAAACCAAATTCCGTCTAAAGGACGGTACAACAAATGTCTCATTCAAATCCAAATCAGTACCAAACTTTAATAATAACCTAAATATCTCAATTGCCTCAACTTCGACCTTCTTACCATCGCCTACAAAGATGATCTTTCACCATCATTTGGCTTTCGGCAGCCCTGCATGAACACACTGATGTGAGTGGTTGCACCAGAATCTATCCACCAAGTGTGTTTAGGTACCGAAGTCAAATTAACCTCAGAACAAACTAGATTAAGAAGTGTACCTTTCTTTGCACGCCAAGCATAATAGTCGGTACAATGCTTCTTCTTATATCCCGCAGCTCCACAAAAGAAACAATCATCAACATTCTTTTCTTTATGTTGTTTCTTTTCATATGGAACCTCTGCAGCTTCTTTATCCTTCTTTCTT